AGGGATTTTGCAATATCCTTCCCCTGGAGTGGGGAGGGAATGGAGGTTTTGCAGTATCCTTCCCCTGCCATGCCCCCCAAGCCAAGCCACACCTACCAAGCCACACCCACAGAGCTGGTAGTAAAGAAATTTGAGTCCCACCACTGGCTAAGAACCATTGTAGTGGGTTTATCCAAGGATGGAGAACATTCTTAAACTCCACTTGACATCACTGAGAAGATGGGTGGTCACTTCTCTTGTGATCTGAAACATCTGGGAGGTCACTGCATGTCCATCCCTGCTTAGCACTATCAACTAATTCCCAACTTTTTCCAATCTTTTAAGACTTGGGAAAGAAATTGCTCTGAAATTGACCCCGAAATTCTTTGCTTATATCCTGGTTGGCTTTTCACTTTTATTCTAATGTTTTGCTTCTCAACAGGGGAAACGTTCCTTCCATACTACACTGGCCAAGCCATTGATGGGATAGTCATCCAGAAGTCCATGGACCAGTTTTCCAAGGCAGTGGTGATCATGGCCCTTCTAGCCATTGGAAGGTAGCTTTCTTAGAGTGTTGGTATGTTTGCTACCTTATAACCTGAAGATTGGAGAGTGTGGTGGTTGTGTGAAGTGTCTTGCAATGGTTCTGGGCTGTGATTTAGATTGTCTCTTAGGTAGGGCCCAGATTTCCAAGAATTTGCAGGTTCTAGAATCGTGGAAATAACAAAAGTAAATTGTATGGAATAATCCTGGGAGTTTTGCTTGATATGGATGTATTATTTGGAACTGTGTGGGGGAAATCTTGCAGGGAGGGAAAAGTATGGAGAAGTTAATAAATTCCTCAAATTGAAATATCCCAGAGTACAGAATAACAGAATTGGAAGGGACCTTGGAGGTCTTCTAGTCCAACCCCCTGCTCAGGTAGGAAGCCCCACACCACTTCAGACAAATGGTTGTCCAATCTCCTCTTAAAAACCTCCAGTGTTGGAGCAGCCACAACAACTGGAGGCAAGTCGTTCCACTGATTAATTGTTCTCACTGTCAAGAAATTTCTCCTTAGTTCTAAGTTGCTTCTCTCCTTGATTAGTTTCCACCCATTGCTTCTTGTCCTGCCTGAAGGTGCTTTGGAGAATAGCTTGACTCCCTCTTCTTTGGGGAAGTCCCTTAGATATTGGAAGATCTCCTTTACAGAACCCTGCAGGCGGAGTTCCGTGTGAAAGGTCCAGGTTTTATTCCTGTCCATTAAAGATACTGATTTTTGCAGAATATTCTCTCTTGGTTTTAAAATTACACTTGAATGTAATGTTGGGAGCAAGATCTGAGTTGAATCCTACGGGTGTCTCTCCGAAGCATTTCTTTCTTGATAGCATACAGGGAATCTTGGGCTTAAGGGTGTTGCTTTTTTGGTCTCTGTTGATCCTATAACATCTCTTATCTGCAATCAGCTCATTTACCGCAGGTATCCGAGGCGGCCTCTTCACCCTGGTCTTCGCCAGACTGAATATCCGGCTCCGTAACAGGCTGTTCCGGTCGCTAGTGGTGCAGGAAATGAGTTTCTTTGACGAAAATCTCACCGGTGAGTTTCTCACCGTCAGGAATGGGGATCCCATCGCCCTGCAAATATCGATCAGCTGCAGAATCACTGATCAGGCTGCCTGGGAATTGTAGTTCAGGAGAACTGTAGGCTGGCGGGTTGAATGCTTTTAGTGTAGACCGGGGGGGGGGCGGTAAAACGCAAGGCCCACGGGCCGGATCCGGCCCACCGGCAAAAACGTAGCTGGGGAGTGCCATGTACGGTTGTAGGAGGCCATCACAGCCGAAAACGGAGGTCTTTTTTGCTGGCAAAGCACTCGGGCCACCATAGGCGCCCCCAACATAAGTGACATCAAGCTGGCCGCGCCCCTCTGTTCACGCCTCACCTCCCGAGGTCAAACACAATCCTGGGGCGGCCCTCAATGAAATTGAGTTTGACACCCCAGTGTTTCTCAACTTCGGCAACTTTACGACATGTGGACTTCAACTCCCAGAATCCCCAGAAACTTAAAAGTTTCTGAAACTTGAGAATATGGGCGTCGTTGGAAAATTCAGAGTCCTTCTTCAGTGCTGTTTTCTATAGATTGTGTTCTCTTGTTATGTTTTGTCTTCCTTCCTCTCTTGCAGGCGACATCATTTCCCGACTGACATCGGACACGACCATTGTGAGCGATCTCGTCTCCCAAAACATCAACATCTTCCTGCGCAACCTGGTCAAAGCCACCGGAGTCATTGTTTTCATGTTTAGTCTCTCGTGGCAGCTGTCCTTGGTGACCTTCATGGGCTTCCCTATAATCATGTTGATGTCAGACGTTTACGGGAAGTATTATAAGGTTGGTTTTGTGAGGTTCTCAGAAGGATCAGCTATTCCTTTAACCCTTTGCAGTATTTGGGGGAAGGCCTCTTAAACCTTCTGTTGCTAGTTATGGTCAACGGGCATACCTGAATGGTCACGTATATTGTTCAAACATTTGTAGGCTAATATTGAGTTTTCATCAGGCTCCCAAAACTATGAAAGATGCTCAGTTACTTGTAAACAAGTTCCTTTGACGTTCCTCACCTGCAGACTGAATCTTGCCAAACTAAAGCAACTACTTACATCGCTAAAGATATACACTGAGAACTTCTAGGGAGGAGACCTCTTAATTCTCTTCCTCTGAAGGAAACTCTAAACTTTGCTGTCTCTTAGTCCTCTGGAATTCAGCCCCTCCCTTCTGGGAATCCAGACAATCTTCCACCACATTTTTTCTTCTCAAAGCCACATCTGGACCTGGATCAGGCGTGGGATTCTACCGGTTGAGGCAAACCAGTAGCTCAAACGATCAGCTGGGAGCGAACTGGTTTGCCCCGGTGATCAGATGGGCGCACCTGCCCGCACTATTTTCCTACCTTATATCTTCTCAGCTGCTTTGCAACGCAGAGCAGGTTGTTGCGTGAATCAGCTGTGTTACTCCTCCGAAGAAACCCAGAAGTGACGATTTCTTCAAATCGCGCACCTGGGCGCAAATCGTGCGATTACCGAAGCGGTTGTTAAACCAGGAGGATCCCACCACTGACCCGGATACTGATTACACATATATAAAAAGAGCCGAGGTGGCGCAGTGGTTAGAGTGCAGTACTGCAGGCCACTTCAGCTGACTGCTAACTGCAGTT